ACACTGGCAAGGAATCCTGCAAATACCTCAGGAATTAAAATCCGGAATGGGGTCCTTGAGTATGGAACAGTCGCTTATCCCATCTGTTGCAAATTGTGCCAGATTTTATGCTCTTCCCAAAATTCATAAAAGTGCTATTCCTTTCTGCCCTATTTTATCAAATTTAGGCACTGCCTCATATCCATTAGCTAAATATTTAGTTTCTAGATTTTCAACTCTATTAGATAATAGCATTTACACCATAAGAAATTCAATAGAGTTTGTAAAACAGTTAAAAGTATTTCTCAAGAAATTTACGCATGGTTTCTTTTGATGTAACCGTTTATTCACTAACCTTCCAGTGGGAGGGTCATTACGGTGTAAAACCAGACTTCGCACAATTTCATTTCTCTTGCATCGAGATTGATGAGCTAATTTCCCTCACTGAACTCTGTTGAAACAAACGCATTTTGTTTTCCAAAATAAATATTACAATCAAACTGATGGATTAGCCATGAGAAGCCCCTTCATCCCCATCCTGGCTGATATCTACATGCATTATTATGAATCAAAATTGTTTGAACTTAACTTCCCGGCATGGTTCCGCTACGTAGATATACTTTACTCTGTTTGAAGTAATAAAGATGATTTAAAAAGTTCTTTCGACAATGAATTCCATTGATCTTGCTATTCAGTTCACCTTTGAACGTGAGACTTGCAATTTTCTTCTGTTTCTCGACATTCTGGTAACACATCCAACTTCAATGCTACGGTTTACCGTAAATCTTCAACTGTTTGCCTTCCTCCACACTTCAAGTGATGGCATCCGATTAAGCAAAAGTTAGCTTCATTTTATTCCTATGTTTTCCGTGGTCTTCAAGTTTGCTCCTCCAAACTATCTCTTGATGAAGGGCTAAATTATTTAAAAGCAGTAGCTATTGACAGGGATTTTTCACCCCAACATATTAATCAAGCGGTTAAAAATTCTCATCTCACACAACCAAAAGGACACTCCTTGTTTAGAGATTATAAAATCTGTTGTCATTCCCTTCTTTCCATCAATTAGCTATAAAGTTGCACATATTTTACAGAAATTTAACTTTTGGGTCATTTATTCTCCCATCAATAAAATTTCGAGTTCCATAACTCAAGTACCCTATTCCGTATTTGAATTCCTGGGGTATTTACAGGATTCCTTGCCAGTGTGGTTTAATTTACATTGGTCAAACTAAGAGAGCCTTAAAATTTCGCATTAACCCATTAACCGCCAAAACTACAAGGAAAGTTTCTTTTCTCATGAAAATAATAACAAATATTAAATTAAGCATTTATAACATAAATTTCATTGAAATAAAAAAATACTCTTAGTTGTGGAAAAGCGAGTGTTGTGTTCGCAACGTCAGCGGAATAAGACTACAGATTTTAGTGATTAGGATTGTACTCGTGTGATGTTTCTTTTGGGTGAAGCTCTGGATTATGTTTTAAGCTGTATAACGTTTTATAAATCTACAATCACTTTACTGTAATTAATTTAATATTAAAATATACATTGTATTTTTTTTTTACAAATCAGATTATTTCAACTGAAAGATTCAAGCATGAAAGCTTGATTACAATCATGATGTAAATCTAATTCCATACTTGCATCTATAAACAGTCTGGCTAGGATACTCTTTACAACAAGTCTTTTGTTATCAACGGACTTTGCGATAAAATGTCTACCATCTCCATGCAAGTTTTTGAATGCTGAATTTACTAGGTCTCCTGTTTCTGATCTATTTTGGCTAATTCCACCTCTCATAGGTGCTTTCAAAAGGAATAATGCATTGTCGTTCTGAAATCTAAAAGGACTTTATATGTCCAGTAGTAAAAGTAGTGATATTTAGTAAGTTTAGATATGGTCTCACCGCATAAATTTATCAGTATTGTCAATTTGACTATTGTCAAATGCAAATTCTTTCATATTCTGTACTGCAAACGTTATATCATCTCGTACAACAGGAAGAAAATTCCTTATCAAAAGACCAATACATTTTTCTTGAGGTAAGAATGATATCCCGTAAGCAATAACATTCCAATAAATCTCATAGGCTTCAAATGCAATAATTCTTTTTTTTTTTTTTTTTTTTTTTTTTTTTTTTTTGCTGAGCGTAATTTTTCTGTTCAAGAGAAGAGAGTAGATGTCTAAACAAAAAGAAAATCGAAATCTGCGCAGTAGTTTTACCTTGTATTTGTCTTTTATAATTTCTCTTCTTCTCTTCTTCATGTTCTTCCTGAACTTAACTACATTCCTTTTTTATCCACTTCAAGATTTCAGTCTTCCTTTTTAAACATTTAGTATACTATAACTGCTTTTAGATGGCTGAAATTTAATTCTTACGTGAATTTCAGCTTCCCCCAACAGTATCATTTGGTAAAATATCATTATCATTATCATTATTTAAAACATTGCCATTCGTTTCTTTTTCGTCACTATCTTCAACAAGATAAAAGTGTAAAATAACCCTTTATTTAATATTTGTTATTATTTTCATGAGAAAAGAAACATTCCTTGTAGTTTCTGCAATTTCTGGGGGGAACAACAACAATATCAGTTTCATTCTGATCATTATTCACATTATCATCATCTGGTTCTTCATCAAAAAAACTTTGAAGGGCTTCGCCTAATGTAAGATTCCTCATTCTAGGCATTTTTAAACAACCAAAACATTGAAAGGAATGAGTGGAAAAAGGAGATTGACTACCCCGTTTTCCTACTGACGTTGCATCAGCGCAACACCTGTTTTTCCTTGCTTCCCAACACAAATATAAACATCTGGCTGATGTAATGTTCTGATAAACAGTGACCTTGACTAAAAGTAGATCACTCATAAAGACGGCGATTCTTTCGTTAAATATTTTCAGCAAAAATACTCAGTCGAAAATTTTGCTTAAAGTATGAGATTAATTATTATAAACAAAATGATTGTTGAAGGCAAATATTTTTGTACAGAAATAATTTTCATAATATTTCCTACACAAAATCATCTGCTGGTATAAAATATCTTAGGTAGTTATATTTATATACCCATTTATTTTGACCGTTGCGTCAACGCAACACCAGCGGTTAATGGGTTAAGGAACATGAAGCATATGTTAGAAGAGGGGAAACGCAGAAGTCTTCTGTTGCCCAGCATTCTTGGTCCGAAAATCACACTTTCATTTTTTCTGCAGCCAAAATTATTCAAAAAACATCTTCCGTTGGTGAACTGGATTTTCTAGAGGCATTTCACATTCCAAAAAATTTTTCTGTTCTAGTTAATGACCCTAATTCCAATCCATCTTTGCCTTCAGCCTTTAACCCATTCAGGACCAGCGGCGCAACGATTCCACTCCTACCAGCCCAGCGTCCCGTATACGCAACGCAACGATTCTGCTCCTACGAGCCCAATGTCGCGTGTATGCAACATTAAAACGGAACGATATATTTGAATTTTTACAAGCCAGTAAATGGAGCTAAGTGGTAATTGTTTTCACATAGGTTGATTAATACGACATTTAACCTTCATGTACTGACATTAGTTTCTGATTTTGAGAAATTTATTGAAATAAACAAACTGGAAATCACGGCTCTTTATAAATGTGCCTGTGAATTAAAGGGGCACAGGCGGTTTTGTTTATTTCGTTAGGATTTTTTTTGTTTTTTTTTGTTTTTCTATTTATTTTGAAACTCAACATAAGCTTTCTTTTTAATTAAAAAGTAACATTGTTACAGAAGGGGAAAGACAATCAGCTTTCTCGACGTGTAATGCGTCGTGCTCACATTTCTTAGGAAAGAGCCAGGGTTTTTGTTTTTCTTACTCAGCATGAATGTTCATTATATATAGTGACACAGGCATTATATTTGGGATATAATGTATTTACTTTACATATAATGTAATTATAAATAATGTATAGATTGACGTGATCAGTAATGACGCCAGTGGAGGTCTTGATCACTTTCTGGTCATCGTGGACGCTATTTTTGATTTAGAAAAACAGGAAGTTTCCTAGTATAAACCTGATGTCACACAGGGTTTGAGGATGAAATATTTCTGAGTGTCTTTTGAAGAAGTTTCGGGACATGTGTTGGGGTTATATTCAGTTAATTTGTCCAAAATCACCGGACACTCCACCTTTCCGTCTAACTGGAAAACAGTTTTCGAAAATTTACGTTGATGGAAAAGGTAATAAAAGTAGGAGAAGCTGTGTTGTGTGTGCTAAAACCAAGGAAAAGTGAAAGCAAACAATGTATTTTAAGTGTGAAATATGCAATGTAGGACTGTGTCGATCATTGTTTTGAATTATTTCACACATAGTAGAATTTTTAAATTGGAATTTAATAGGTAATTCTTGTTTAGTTTAGTTTTTTTTTTTTAATTTGTATTTTTTTTTTCATGTTTATAGTACTTATTTCTGTGTGTATAGTAATGATTTTAGTATTTTGCCTGTTTAATTTATTTCTATTAATGTGATTTTCTTAATATTAATACACATTAAAAACAAGTACATTGAATATGCAACTTCAAAAATTGAGGTCATAATATCAAAATGCTGATTTTATACGATTTGTAAAATTATTAGTCTTAACTGCTGAAAATGTGTGGGCAGGTGGCGACGATCCATTTCAGCAGGTCCGGTCCCGTGACTGTTCTTTGTTCTTCTGATGATGGTCCATAAGGGGTTAAGGAAATTATTTTTTAATTCTGGTTTCATCAACAGATGGCGCCAGTAGCTTGACTCTTGTCCGTTCTTTCTTATCTTTTCTCATGTAATCACTATAGCTTATCTCGTTCATTTGTGCTTTTGCAGCTGAGCCTGATGGTTCGGTAAAACCATCGAAACTAGTCATGTGAAAATTTGAAAATATAACACTGATTTTTGTTGTTTGACTTCTAAATTGGTACTTGTTCAGCTTGTAATTGTATCATAAAATTATGTAAGATATTTTTTAAATAAATCTGAGTAATTTTATGAATGAATGTTTTATTTTGTAGAGCAAAGATGGGCACTTCAAGTAGCAGCTTACATGAATTACAAGATAATAAATATCTCCTGCAGTTTTCTGGAAAAGAGGCTATAAGTCCAAATGATCCTTTTTGGAATCAACTTTTATCGTTCACATTTGTACCACCACATTCATGTGCTGATGGTCGGCTTTTAGAAGACAGCATTAGACCTATGCTTGATGCATTGCTAAATAACAATCCACTAACTGGGAATGTGTCTTCTCTTATCAAGGTCTTTTTATTGCATTCTTCAGAACTGAAGGCTGCTTTGCAGTGTGAAAATACCGTTTTCATTTGGCAGGCTTACAATTCACTTTTTATATTGCGATGCATATTGAAATATTTTATTGAAACCTTGGGGGAAGAAGGTATGATAAAGCAGTTAGAAGATGTCCAACAAAATAAAAGTGATGCAAACAATGTATTGGAACCTGCAAAATTACTGGAATCTATAATTAATGCCTTGTTTGAAATAGTTGTTGATATATCTTTAGATAACAATACGTATGTTATTACAGTTGAAGCTATTCATACTCTGGTAGTTTTACTATCAGTTCAAATGTTTTCCTCTAGGCCAGCTTATTCATCTGTTGTCTATTCTGTCGTTATGCAGGGAAAATGTTCAATTCATGCTCTGCTACTCGTGAAAATTCTTTTATATCATTATAGTAGTCAAAGTAAATGTCCACATTGTGTTTCTGCTCTAGAAGGGGGGAGTATAATTGCTGGACTTGCATCTGGACTTTGGAATGTTTTGACATTCAGTTATGCTAGAGGTAATTCTTCAAAAGAAACTTCTAATGGAACTATTCTGGCTAATCATAGCTTACTTCTATTATTAGTGCTAGTTAACCATTGTTCTAATGAAAAAGACATGAAAAATCCTTATAGGTCTGCTTTATTTTCATTTAAAAATATTAGCAGTAGCTCAAATGAAGCAACAGTTGACAACATTGCATCTTTTAAGTTTGATTATGAAATATTATTTCGGACATTATGCAATACACTTAAAGATGATCAGACAGCACTTTTGACATATTTGTTACTACATCAAAATCCTAGTTTTCGACATCATATAGTCTTTTCATCGGAAATATACTTACTGGTTGTGCCACTGTTAAAGTTACTGTATAATGCTCCTGAAAAGAATTCTCATTTAATTTATATGTCATTAATCATATTGTTAATATTAAGTGAAGAAGAATATTTTGATAAACAGAGTCATATGATAAAACTGAAGAATGTCACCTGGTATACTGAAAGAGCATTATCAGAAATCACATTAGGAGGGTTAATAGTACTTATTCTTATTAGAACTATTCAATATAATATGACAAGAATGCATGATAAATACCTTCATACAAACTGTTTAGCAGCCTTAGCCAACATGTCAGCTCATCTACAAAATTTACATCCATATGTATGCCAGAAATTTATAGGTTTGTTAGAAAATATGGGCAAGCGATATTTACGTCTTATTGATCAGTCTAGGTCAGACTGTCAGCAAAGTGAGGATGAACTATTACCATCAGATTTAATGCAGGATTTGTCAGTATTAGATGAAGTACTTCGGATGCTGCTGGAAATACTAAATTCATGCCTAACTCATCAGCTCCGTAATAACATTAATTTCCTGTATACTATTTTGTACAAAAAAGATATATTCAGTATGTTTAGATCAAACTCAAATTTTCAGGATATAATGCAAAACATTGATTCTGTTTTGATATTTTTTTCCTCTCACCTAGAATCTTTAGAACAAAATTTATCAGTTTTAGAAGTTTCTGAAATAATTAAATCAGTGTCTCTCCAGTGGTCTAAAGAGAAAATGAAAAAGTTCCCAGAATTAAAGTTCAAGTATGTAGAAGAAGGACAACCAGAAGATTTTTTTATACCCTATTTGTGGTCTGTGGTATTTCATTCTTCAGATATTTATTGGAATTCCAAGAACATATTAATATTTAATCCGTATAAACCAGCATAGTATCTATTTTGTTTTTCGTATGCATTCTCTGATGCAGTTTTTAATACTCATTATCTCAGAGTATATTAACCAAAGTATGCAGATATTGCATTAATAAAAAATGAAGACTTTTTTTAAGTATGTATAATTTATCCTGGATTTGCTTTATTTCACTGAAATTTTATCAGGTTCGTAATTTAAATCTTTTTATTATTTAGAAATGAATTTAACATTCTTGCAAATTTAATTTTCACCGAATCATTTTGTTATTTTGTTTCAAAGGAAGCATCATACGGATGTCTTGTTGACATATGTGTAATATGTATTCAAGCAATCTAAAATATATATCAAACACTTTGTGATCTTCAAGAGGAATTGTTACTTTTATTTTAATGGATATTAAGTAAAATATTGCAAATAGATGAATGAAGTTTTTAAGCCCAAATCTGATCTAATCTGTAAAATGCATATTAGGTCTGACATGACAGAAGATAACAGTAACACAGTCAAATAATATATAATCTCTGTGCCCTTGTTTGATTGAATATCATTAGTTAACATTGTTTCTGCTGAGAATGAATTTCAGTGTAATAGTGTCTTGTATTTTGGATGCCAACACTTATTTTATGTTGGGTTTACAGATCATTTCTTAGATCAAATTGCAAGAGAAGCACATCAATGTCAAATTAAAACTAGACAGTAAAGCAGCCCCGCTTTGATGTAGATTTTTGATTAAAACTATTGATTTTGAGGGTGATCAGACACAGGTAACCTCCTCTTTAGGAGCAAAAAAATTTTTTGACTCTGAAGCTGAGAGAACTGTACTTGATCATCCTTGAAATCAAAAGTTTTATTAAAAATGTACCCCAAACTGGGGGTTTTTCAGGTCTAATTTAAAATTAATTTTTGAGCTTTAACATTTTCTGTGCTAGCTTAATTTCATATAAATTAATATTATGTGAGCTATTTGCAAGCCAAATTGACTAACTTTAGCCTGAAATCTTTGAATTTCTTTTTCTGAAGTTTTTCCAATTTTAGTTTCAGATAACTTAGTTATTGCCAAAACACTTTTTAGTTACAATATACTATATCTCTAATAATGATGTTTAAAGTGTAATTAAGGAATTAGACTTTTTATGGTATCTCGATAAAGTAATTTGTATCAATGTTATTAATTTCATATGTGTGATTAATGGCATTGTCATCTCTTATCTGAATAATAAATTTCCAAAAATCTAGTTATTTACCATATTGTGTAAAAACTAAAATTTTGTAAATAATTTTAATATACTTTTTTCATCAGAAGAAATAAAATATATACCATTCAGTTAAGAGGCTGAGGTTAGTTATTCAGACCTGAAAAATGATGAATCAGCTAAGACTGAACAGGGATTTTAATCTACAAAAATTAGCAATAATTCAAGAAATCATACACGAATTTTTGGGACTTTTTGGTCATCTGAATTTAACAAATAAGTATATTGGATACAAAGCGGTAATGATTGCTCTGATATCGGGCAGTATGCCTAGTGGTTAAACAGTATGTTAAAAGGTTTTGTGAGTAATTTGCTAGAGTCCAGGTTAATGAATTAAAATTATTACTTTAAAAATATAATATTCAATTTGCAAAATGATTATCAATTTTATCTGAAATGTATTGAAAAAGTCGCTTGTAATTAAAGAGAAGAATCTGTGAAATCATTTAAAATTTATATTTTAAGATTAAAGTAATGGAAATGAAAAGTAACAGTAAGACTTCCAAAGTCATAATTCTTTCACATGTTTAAAGAAATGGATGAAAGAGTATTCATGTATGTATAAAATATATTGAAGCTATGTATCAGATGAGCAGTGAGATGTAAAAATGCAAAAATTCCCCCCTACGAAAAAATTTTGTATTTGAGACACAGTTTGTGTCATTATATTCCAGCAATAAAATTGATTAATTATGTCATAAAATATATAAATTCTTGTCCTGCATCAATCACTTTACAAGAACTTGCAATATTAGGCAGAAGTACAATGAAACCATTCTGAGACAGCACTCACTATTTCAGATAGTAGTGGTATTCTTTGAAGGTAGTCAACTTAGTATAATCAACTCTACTATTGATTATGCTCTGAAGAACGCTAGTCACTTTGAGAGGTGATTGCTGTGAAAGGTTTCATTGTATTATGCCTAAATCAGCATTTCAGTCTTTTTATTATTATTATTATTATTATTATTATTATTAAGTAACAAATTGCATGTAATAATAATTTCAAGTATTGCTATTAGTTTAAGTTGTGAGAAATAGCCTAGGAAGGAAAAAAGAGCTGATTTGGTAGATTGAAAAATTGAAAAAAAAATGAATCATCCTTTAATAGAATACCTGTGTCAAAACATAATTTAAAATGCTAAAACTACCAAACAGCTACATGTGATCATAATCAAGAAACCAACTGAGCACAATATAATTTTCTGGCATAGTTGTTAAGCTGTGCAGTTCGTGCAGCTGCTTTAAGATAGCCAGTTGTGTGAATGATTATATTGTAGCTTATATAACTATGATAAGGAAGCAGGCTGTTAGGTATTAAAATATATCCTAACATCCTCTTTGCACTCCACTAGCAAAAACATCTGTCCTACCATTGGTTGAAAAATATTGATATAAACCGTAATAGAAAATAATATAGTGTGGTTAGAAGAAAAATATTATTACAGTGCATTCTTTTTTAAAATTTAATTTTCATTTCATGCAACTGCTTAAAAAATGCTGCTCATTGACCTGTAATTTTTTGAAAAGAGATATTTATTCCTTGAAAAGTATCTAAATTTAAATGTTGTAGAATTTGAGGTGATTCACATCTGAAAAGCTAAGTAAGTTGTTATTGCTGAATATCAAATGAAAGAAAAAATTTCTGCTTTATTGCCTGTGAAAAGTTATCCATTCCCTTATCATTGTTAGCTTATTACAGGCAAAACTAATATATAATGCATTTTGTGTGTAATAATTATATTTATTACAAGCAAAACTAATATGCAATGCATTTGTATGTAATAGTGTCTTTTAATGTTGTAATATAAAAACTACTTGGTCTCAGTGTTATTCTGTCTGTGAAACTGTTTATAAAAATAATTTGAATTAAATGTAATTATTATCTTGAATTCATGTTGAATATTCTAGAATGTATTCATAATATTCAATAAAACATGTTACAATTTTCTTATTAATGAATATTGTTCTTACATGCATGAATATGTTAGTGTCAAACAAATGCACTTGAGGGGGGGGGAATTTTCTCTGTTTCTGTAAATTGTGTTACATTTTAAGTGTCATAATTCAGTTAATGAAGCACTGTTATAAAAAGGTGCTGCAGCTCCAGATAATATATATCATTTAAACTGAAAAAATGGGATACAGATATGACAAATTGCTTTGTTAGATGCTGAAAATCTGTATATCTAAGCTGAGCTTGCATGTGGATAAAGCCTAATGAGGCATTTGCCTGTAACAAACCAATAGACATGAAAAGGCTAGCTTGTTGCATGTATAAAATGGGGAATAGCATTACTGCTTATAGTTAGTTCACTGATGATCAGCTAATTCAGACCTTTAAAAAAAAAAAAAAAAAAAAAGCAGTAAAAATTATCTTTGTGCATATGGAGAGAAATAAGCTGTAAAATTCTTATGTTCTTTATTTCCTCTAAGAATAGGGATGAATAGTCAAGTGTATTTAATAGAGGTTAATTTTGTTTGAAATTACACAAAAAGAAGAAAAAATGTAATAGTTATGAAATATCAAATCTATATTATGACAACATTTATGAAATAATAGTAATACAAAAAAGTTAAAACTGCAGTATGCTGTAACAATGCAAAACCTGATGATATTTTTTTTTTAATGTGCTGTATAATAATGCAAGCAACATTCCTTGAAGGCCTGGCTGTGATTTCTCTATAATGCTGACTATTACTGCCATAACTACTTGAGTTATTCATATGAGCAACAGAAATGCTGTTATTAACTTCTGAATTTTTATGAAATATCTTGTAGTATGTCTCATATCTGGACATCTTTAAAAATGTGTATACTTCGATCTTTCTGGGAAAAATGAGTTGACTGAGGACAACTAACAAGAACTTTTGAAGAGGGAAATTTTATATACAATTTATAAAAGTATGTAAGAATTGAAAAACAAAGTATGTGTGCCAAAAATGTGAAAAAATGCACCTTTCTGTGTAGAAGTTGCTATAATTTCTGATATGTACAAAATAGTCATGAAAAGTGCAACATCAGAGTTCCATCTTCAGACTTGCTTTCAAGAATTAATAATAACAGTACATATTTGCTTCACTGCTGTAACTGAAATTACTAACAGCAATTTTGGTAATACTATTTTGTGAAAGTTTTAATATATTTGTGCATGTTAACATGTTGTGGTGTTTTATTTTGTAATTGAAACGTTCCTCAAATAATTGGTAGTACAGTAGCACAAAAGTGTTGATTTATGTCATTATGTCTGTGATTATAATGTTTTTTTTTTCAAATTAATATTTACTAATGTTATTAATTTCTCTAAATGTAATACATTTTTATTAGTAATTATTAATTATTGATCAATAAACATATATTCTTGTAAATAATGATAAATGCATGTGGATTGTTTAAAACACCTTACAGATGCATTTTAAATTAATGTGTTTCAGTTCATTTGCAATTAATGCAAGGTTAAATGTATTGCATTGTATTTCCAGGTAGAACTGTATGTAGCTGTAAACTTCATTGTGTATGTGGCTTTCTGCTGAGAAAACATAGTGTTTACCCTATTAATTAGGAATTATTAATTAGGTATTAATTAGGAATACTTACTAATTTATTAAAATTATTTTAATGCAACATAGTATATATTTTTATTTGTACATATTAATGATAAAGATTATGTGGTTGTTGCTCTAAAATGTATGCTTTAACATGTGTAATGTTATTCAATAAACAATGTAAGCTTTAACAATAAAACAAAAAATATATCCCTCTGATAGCTCATGCATATCATGACAATTAAAAATGAAGCAGGCATAATACAGAAGCAAAAAAAAAGTCAATTATTTTCATTGACTTGTGATTATTGCCGAGTACAGCAATCACTGCTTTTCATTTATACTTTAGATACTTTCATTTTGTTTAACTATTTAATCAAAAATAAGTTTGAATGTAATTTCTCATTTGTTAATGCTATTTGACCTACTTTTAGAGGTTTTTTAATTTGCAGAAAGGAATTATTGAAAAAGATGTAGTAGAATGTGTTTATCTGCGGAAATGTTGTGAATATTCAATCTTACAGAATGAAAGAGCACCAGAAAATTTGCAGTGGTGACATCAGTAGTAAAAATATGCAGCATAAATATAAAATAAATTTTTTAAAAAAATAACCTTTCCTTATGTTGTGGAAATTATAAAAATATCTAATCAGTTACTAGAAAATTCAGCTCCACTAAGAAATTAAAATAAGGTGGAGAAAAAGAATATGAAGAGGACATGCTAGTATGAGATTTTGCCACTGAAACAATTTCAAAGTGTATAGAGATTTTTGATGTGATTATAGCAGGGTTCTTTTATAGTTTGTGTGTTCCATTTTCTGGCAGTGACTACCTATCTTTTGTATATATAATAAATTTACAAAGATCAAGTTATATGTTCTCTAAAATTAAATAAGTGGCTGGATACTTTACATAATAAATAACTGCTGAATGATTAATGCTATGCCAGTTTGCTGAAGTAAATAATGCTGTGTTAAGTACACAAGGAATTGAAGTCAGAGATTGAAATAAAGTGTCGTAGTGGAAGTGCTATAGTGATTTGAGATGGTTCGAGTACTGTCCATAAAGATCCCATTATTTCTAATGGTACTGAGAGTGTAAATTTTCTTTATTTCATAAATACGTTGTCTTAGAAAAAGATTGCTGGCAGCTATAACAGAAGTGGGAGAGAGGAATACATTTATAAAATAAATGAATAAGAAAGCCCTTAAAACAAGCTATTTAATTCTAACAACTTGTGAATATCCTGCTCATTATTTTAATCCCTAATGAAACAAATGGAATCTATTCAGAAATCATTGGAAGTACAGTGCTTTGCTTCTGCAGAACTTGTGAATATTCTGCTCATTATCTTAATCCCTAATGAAACAAATGGAATCTATTCAGAAATCATTGGAAGTACAGTGCTTTGCTTCTGCAGGCATTGTGAAAGCACAAATACGCAGAAGAACAAAGTGAAATAATTTGACATATCTCTTGGAATTTTTCATGTATAATCTTCTGTACTTGCTATTCTGAATGATATAATGGTTCGTGGAGACTGCCTACAACTCTGATACCTTCAATCTTGGTTTCATATTAAGGCTTAATCTTATGTGTGTGTGTGTATCTTCCTCCCTCTCACAGGTCTACACTTTGTGGTGCATCCTGGGTAGTGTGCTAAATGGGAGGCATCTAAATGGATGATGGGTTTGGCTATTTCTGATGAATACTTCCAAGTACATGTCTGGCCATTGGCACAGAAGTAAACTCACAAAATTTTAAAAATCACGAAGATGATGTATCATCTTCGTATAAAATAGTATTAAAAAAGGAAAGCTGTTAAAACTAATTTAGTTCACTGAATAAAATCTGAAAAGCACATTGCAGTAGTTTCACTCAGCCTTTAACCTGGTACTATATTGTGGTTGATATTTTTCCCCTGAGGCATGTGGAAACTTTATTATCAAATGAATGGAAAGAATGTCTTAAAGTTCTTGGTAATCACACAAACCGTCATTAAGTCATATAACCTTTCATGTGTTTTAAGTCATATAACCTTTCACATAAAATCAATTCCATATCCTTATATATATGTCCAGTGAAATTATCTAAAATGCTTCAACTTCTACATGTGAGACTTAAAAAAAGGTGATTCTGCAAAAGAAGATTTCACAACTCTTATTTGCACAATGTTTCCCTCTACAAATATTGCTTAGCTTTCAAAGACGATTTTCTGTTTATGTTCAGTAAATTTAGAAATGCTTTGGGTTTTGAAACAGCTGCAAAGTTTTTGTATAAACTATTTGGTGAAAAATGTCGTACTGAAATTTCATGATGAATCTGCTGCTGTGTGGCCTTTGAATTTATATTGTAAACATTAAAATGTATTAATTTAAAAATACATTTCGCACTATGACTTTGTAGAATCATTAAGTTATTTTGAAGCAGGAGATATTATAAATGTACAGTGCCCTCACCCGGACTCGAACCCTGGATCTCTCAAATACGCGCATAGTGTGCTATCGTTAGACCATGAAGGCATGCTGGAAGGAGGGAGAAAATATCTTATAACTTACTGCAATAAGTTTATTAGTTATTTTATAAGTTTTTTCCTGTTATTACCTTATTTATGCCATACTGGTTTCAAACACATTGGCTGAAAGTTATAGTTTACAGCAAAATTAGTTTATATTTTTTTTTTCCCTGTTTTTAGTCTAATTTAAATACTGCACAATTGGTTTCATGTGAATGTAAAAATAATTGTTTGTACTAGAGTAAGAATTATTAATTGCAGGCATCTGTTCTAATTATAAAATCTTTGAATAACAGATTTTTTTTAATGAATCAGTATAGAATCTTAAGTAATTTGATTTACTTTGTTATATTATGCCTGTTGCATGAAAATTTCATGAAGGATATATTTCATCTCAAAAGCTGCATTTGTTTAAAATATATTATTATATTATTTACTGATAGAGCTGTACATAATTTCAAATTTGACTGTGCCTGATGATAAAATAATGAGAAATTTATGTATCTTAAATTTTGTAGTGAAATGAAAGAGAAAAGGTGCTTTCTTTTGTTTATTTGTTTACTAATTAAATAACGAAATCGGCTTCGTGTTAATATGAAAAAAAAAATCTTTGCATAGTATATAATAATTATTTATTGTAAATATGTATTTAAATGTGGAATCAATGAGAAAAATCAGATTGTTTTAAAGAGTAAGTACAAAATTTGATTTTGTAATGCTAATTCCCTTAAATGGAGCTAATAAATGAATTACTATTTTGTATTTGGGTTTCTTTGCTAATTGATTTTGATGACTAATCACATGTACACTGCTCAAAAAAAAAAAAAAAAAAAAAAAATCGGACAGTGCTATATCTCCCGTTCTACTGGGCCGATTGACAAAATTCAAACTACGTTTTTCATGTCTCGAAAGCGCGACTTAGGATATATATTAGATTTATATATAGTACTATTCTAACATGGGTATTTTGACACAAAATCGGACTTTTCTGAAATAACATACCAATTTTTTTACATATTTCGATTCTACGACTCAAATTATGCCAGAATACCAAGTTTTGTAAAAATCGTACGAATAGTTTTTTAAAATATTAGCTCTCAAAATTTAGCTCCTCAATGTTAATTGAATTTGGCAAATATTTATTAATATCTCTTTTTTTATTAAACCTTTTTGATTTTTTCTCTCACATTTCGAAATTTCGGTTCATTTCCAAATAAAATTTACCCATTTCTTGCGTTTTATTTTTTAAATTTCTATTTTTAAAAATAATTTCTATAGATTTTTCGAAAAAATTTTGAATTATAACCTATAAAATTTTACCATCATCTTAAAGTAGGTGTATTTTTAGCATATCTGCAAAAATTTGACTTTTTTATTCAAAATTTTCTAAGATATACACGAATTTACATATTTCGCGTTTTGAAATTTGGCACTTTTTTTTTGAGCGATAATAACGCCAAATGTGGTCTATGGATTTTTTGTTACACACTGAATTGCCACAGCTATTTTTAACCTTAAACTTCAAGTAAAATATTACGGAGAATTAATTTTATATGACATTTTTTCCTCAGTGATGCGTAATAAATATTTATTAATACTATATGAAAGGCTATTTTTTTTTAATTATAGATGATATTATTCAAATTTTTAACTATTTTTTTTTTTTTTTTTAATTTCTCTCGTATCTTTTCTTTTTTTAAAAAATTTAAGAGTAAGTTTTTTGAAAGAGTAATTTTTACCTTCGGCGTTTTATCGTCTGCTACTTTACTTCGTTTAAATCGAATTGTCTAAAACTGAGAATTTTCGTTTGATATTTATTTGAATTTTATGACATTAACTGCATAATTTATTTCTAAACAAACTGTTGCTTTTGAAGTGGCTGAAAGAGCGGCTGATACTATTATCCATATTTTTAAAGCACACAGTATATTTTTATAGAAGCATAAGATTTAGAATAATCATTTTTATAAAAGTCAAATTATGATATAAACATACAACCCTCTAGAGACTGAATTAGTGGAAGTTCAGTGTTTATGTAGAAATGATCTGCAGCTACTTAATGGCTTGGATAAGTCAGGCAGATTCTTCTGTGGACAAGTAAGAATAATTATATAAACGACCCACAACATTCTGGATTCAATAAACTACGAGGATACGATGTTTACTAAATGAATTTAAGAAGATTTAAAACATAAAAAATCACTCATTTTTTTCCTAAAATGTATTTTGTGGCTTAGCGTATTTTCATTATATCCTTAAAATTCTAATTTAGAATGTAATTGTCAAGAACTGAATCCTAATCATCTGTAATATAATAAGTAATTATTACGGTTATTAATAATCCTTCTTATAAAGTAATTGAAAATATTTCAAGAAACTTTTCTGTCTGAATGCAAACAAACATTTTCTATGCAAATATTTTTAATTTTATATTAATCAAGATTGCACACCATATTACTTATTTCCACTTCAATTCTTACCGTCAATTCTAGTAGAATTTACAAATCAATTATATTTAATTAAGGATTGGATTGGATTATTTAATTATGGCAAAGCACACGAGGGCTATCTGCCTAAAGGGAGGGATGCCTTCGTGGAGGACTTTCTAAGGGAAACTGGCTCGTATACACGTTACACATGGGGAAACCCACGAAACCGCCCATGCGGCCAGCCCGTTCGCGGGATTCGAAACTCGAACTGAACTACCAGTGTTCAGCTTCTTTACCGCTCGGCCGTTGGTGGGCTATTTAATTAAGGAATGACCATCTAAGTTAAGAAACAGCGTACCGTAACAACATTTCAATTATTGGTGCCGTATCTTTCATGTTACTCACGATTGGCTAAGCTACATGATTTTTAATGAGTATTCGGGTTTTGCTAGTAACTTTACTTGGAAATCAGCGCTTAAACTAGGTTAGTTGGTTATTTGAACATAGAAAGAACATGGGAGCTATTTGATTAAGAATGCTTTCATAGAGAATCCTTTGTAAAGAGAACCTAAAAAACTACGAAAAGCCAGCCATGCAGCCTGGGTTAGACTGAGCAACAAACAATTAGTATTTTAACAATCTTTTCTTTTTCAAATGCTTAGGCAACTGATGAGGCTCCAATTAAATCTCCAATTAAATATTTTATTTGTAAATATTTAAAATATTGTTGTATTCTTTGACACAAAAAGCAGAATTTAAGTTTTGTTAACTCGTTAGTAAACTACCAAGCCGTAGTGCAAATGAATATTCAATTTCTTGGAAATAATTGTATTCACTTAATATTCTTGGAACATGAGCTAAAGAAGGAACGTTCTCGGAAGATTAAAGAAGTGTTTAAATCCAGTGATATTAGGTTTTTGTCTTACAAGCACAGGATCAAAACGATTCTGCAATTGCCCGAGTAGTTGACTTGTAAATGGATGTGAATTAAGCAGATGACTTTTAATCTTACGTTATTCAGCCAGAAAACGTATTCCAAATGTTTTGTATTGCATGACAATGCATCTTTTCATTATTCAATAACCAGTCGGAGAAACGCTTGTGTTCGGAAAATAAGTATGTATATTCAATCGTCCTGCATGTTCTTCAAATTTATCTTCTTCTGATTTTTTTTCTTTCTCAAAAACTAAAGTTGCCTCTCAAAGGAAAGTTTTTTGACATTGAAGAGACAAAATTAATATGAGATCTACTTTTAGAGGCATGTCAAAAACAGATCTCTACAAACCTTCTCTTCCATTACATGCTGTGCAGTCAGACAAAAAGTTACATCAGCGTAAATTCTATAATCTATTTTTATTACACTCTGATTACTTTATTAACATACAGTGAATATATACTAAATCTTTTACTTTAGCTTAAGTAATTCGGAATTTTTGACGGAATTGTTGTCGGAACTAGGACTTAGAAGATAAGTCAAATTAAATATTTCGATAACCCAGTAATTCAAGTTCGAAATTTCAATATTTTATTTTCGGAGGGAGGGGAAATGTTTTCAGTTTTGGTCCATTATACTAAGTATATTTGCTTCGATTTTTATTTTTCCATAAAAGCGAAAATTTTACGCATGGTAGACATATAACGCATAGCTTTCAAATTAAAATTTAATAATATACAGAGTGGTTATAATTAAAGTTCCACATTGAAACGGTCATAAAAGGAAAACTACCGGATCAAGTGTTATCAAACTTGGAAATCGTGTAAAGGAGGTCATGGGAATTTATTTTCCGCGGAAAAAAAGGAAATTCGAAACCTCACCACCAGGGGGGAAATGGCGCTGTATGCAATATTGTTAAACGAAATATTGGTCGGAATCTAACTTAACCTTTTGTTAAACGGGTTTAATATGTTGTATACCCTTAAGAAACTTTGAAGTAGGCAAATTACCATTTAAAGACGTTAACTTCGATAAATGTCGAGTGCGCCATCCCTGTAAGTAAGAATTTCGTCCGTGAAAACCACGAATTAGCGATTAGAAAATGTGAAATCGCAAATCACTCTCACAAGTGCGTACAATCTGGAAATCGTTTTCTTACAGATCGCTAATTTGTAATTTTTTAAGCCTGAATTCGGTACTAAAACATGAAGATACTGATTCAAAACGCTTTTAATCGATTTGGGCCAAAGAAATCTCTCATGTTATCTATCTAATTCCATTGCATTCTCCTACTGCATTCGATTGCATAACAGTCATTTCACACCGTTTACTGTTGAATGACAGCTAGTTTTATAACTGAACCATTTTTTTTTTTAAGAGCAGTCGACAGCTGGACCACTGCGATTGCAGCTCACTTAGAGCCAATATTAAAATGTTTCGTGATACATGAACTGCAGTAACGTGGCATTTTAGATACTACGATTTTTATGCAGGGCTGGGCACCACCTCAAGAGCGTCGCCATAGTTTACTTAGGCAACATTTCACGAATGAACGTCTTATAGACCAACACTTCCCCTCTTCCCACCAGACCTCAACCTCTGTGACTTTTGTCTATGAGGTTATCTCAAAAGCACTGTTTATGGTGATAATCTAAACAATTTGGCAGAAATGAAAAATGTGATACACTGATAACATTCCTCCTGATATGCTATGTGGTAACGTGTATACGAGCCAGTTTCCCTTAAAAAGTCCTCCACGAAGGCATCCCTCCCTTAAGGCAGATAGCCCGAGTGCTTTGCGTAATCTAATAACCAAACCAAAAACCAAACCTGATATGCTAAGAGCTGCTGTTGAGAAGGCAGTAACATGATTTAACTTGCTTTCGGAAAATGCTTGTCGCTACATTGAACATGCTTTGTAACACGTTTCGGAAAATATTAAACACATTTCAAACAGATGTTTTCGTGTCTTATTTTATTTAACAATATTGTATACAGCGCCATTTTTCCTCTGATGGCGAGTTTTTGAACTCTTTTTTTTTTTTTTTTTCCGCCGAAAATAAATTCTCATAACCTCCTTTACACGATTCCCAAGTTTGATAACATTTGGTCTGGTAGTTTTCCTTTTATGACCATTTCAAAGTGAAACTTTAATAATAACCACCATGTAAAATAAGCTTTAAAAGTTGACAGTTTGGTTCAAGTCCCAACTTTAAAAATATATATATAAAATAAATTTTTATATTAATCCTCTTAGAAAGCATGTTTTAAGAAGCTAACTTTTCTCTCGCGTTATAGATTGTATAAAAAAACATGATCTTTAATATGATTTAGATTGTTTTCAGCCGATATAAGAATCGGGTTACTCTGTGGTACAGAATAAACCCTGCTGGACTGTT